CCAGAAGCAGGCATTCACATCTCACTCCTTAAGCTGGTGTAAAACCAGGTTCCATTGGAAGTTCCAAGTTTCTGGGTGGCTGACCAGCAGTGACAGCCTGCAGGGTGGGCTGGGGTCAGGAGGTGTGGGGCACAATGTGTCTTGGCCTCTCTCTGACTCCAGGCACTTAGCGTGGCCTTTGCTTGCCTCCATGTCCCAGGGTTGGGGCCTGTTGACCACCAGGGCTCTGGACTCTCAGGCCAGAGCTGGGATGTAGCAGGCTGCACCAGGTGCCCCTGGATGGGGCTCCTGCTAGACACAGCCCTGAGGCTGGGGTCTCCAGCCAGGCCTGGACAGCGTGGCAAGGGAAGGAGGAAGTGCTGGGGAGGGAGAGAGGGCATCCTGCAGGTGCAGGCCTGGCTCAGGGCCATGACACTGTCCTCTGCAGATCCTGCGGGAGATCACTGACCAGGAGCACCAGGTGGCCATGCTGAAGCAGGCCATCAAGGACAAGGAGGCCCCGCTGCGCGTGGCCCAGACCCGCCTGTATCAACGCTCATTCCGGCCCAATGTGGAGCTGTGCCGGGACACTGCCCAGTTCAGGTGCCCAGAGTCTCTGATCTCCCTCAGCCATTGAAGCCTCTCACACAAGCAGATATGGACCCTGGACATGATCCTGGGTGGGGCTTGCATGTCAGGGTTCCATGTCACTCAGGGCTGTCTGATCTTCCTGCAAGAGACCTCAGGGCCTGACAAGCTGAACTTCTGAGGCCACAGGCCCAGAGGAAGGCCCTGCAGGCCTGTCTGCCCACCCTGCCTCTCTGCTGTAGAGTGACTGTGTTCCTGCTGAGGCATGGATGGGCCACATGCTTGTTTTCCTAGTTCATCAAGTCCCAGTTGCTCTTCTAACATGAGTCCCCCCTTCTTTCTCCTTCTCTGTCCTTCAATTTGTTCAAGAAACTGGAAGCCCCAGCAGGTTCCAATGGTGGGTACTGTGTCCAGTCATCAGGGATTGAGCCTGGTCACCTGGCCACTGCTTACCATGGCCACTTGGTGCTGCTATTGCCCAGGGTCTTGCAGAGCCCAGGGCAAAGGCTCCACTTCCCTGCTGGGAGCAGCTGGTGGAGGTCCTGCATAACTTGGAGAGAAGAGCCTCTTTCTTCACACTGTGGCCCTTAGGGCTCCACCCAAGGGCATGGCCCTGGCCCTGGCCCTGGCCCTGTCCTGTGTGCCATAGGGTCAGCTTCCCTGTGAGTTTCCTGACTGCCCAGAGTCCCCAACTTCTGGAACTCTGCTCCCCACCGAGCACCCACTCCTGCGCCTCTGCCCGCAGGCTGGTGAGCGAGGTGGAGGAACTGCACATGTCCCTGGATGCACTGAGGGAGAAGCTCCAGGAGGCAGAGCAGGCATTGCACAACCTGGAGGAGACACGTCTGAGCCTGGAGAAGGACATCGCCATCAAGACCAATAGTCTGTTCATCGACCGCCAGAAGTGCATGGCCCACCGCGCCCGGTACCCCAGCGTCCTCCAGCTGGCCGGCTACCAGTGACTGCTGCTGGCACCCGGTGGTACTGTGTTGTCCCAAATAAAAAACATATTGACTTTCTGCAGATGCGTGTGGTCCAGGGTGGAGTCCAGTTGCTGTCCATCTGGGTAGCATCTCCCATCCTGTACAGCCAGGCTTTGCCTGTAGACCCCATTGTCCTGGCCTGGAGAGATGAGGGCTCAGAGCTGAGGGCCAGTGGTCCTGTGCTTCAGTGGACATCATCAGCCTAAGTGAAGACAGAGGCTCTCCACAACCCAACTTCACTGTTGCACTGTCTAGTCCAGAGCAGGGCTGTCCAGCTGGGCCTTCCCCTCCCCTCTGGGCTGGCTTCTTCCTGCCATCTCTGTCCTTGGGCATCCTGTTGGGGTCACCTCATGGCTCCTTCCCCAACACCCCAGGCCTTACCCTCAGCTCCTGTATCCTCAGGATGGGCTGATCCTCCCCAGCACCCTGCCTCCATAGGACCCAGGAAGGGGGCTGGTCACACCCTGAAGAGTGGGGAGGGGGCTCTTGTCTCTGAGGCCCAGGCCCACAGGGTGCTAGTACTGCCCTACAGGGAAAGGGGAGAGGAGCAGAGGTGCAAAGCCATCTGCACATGGACACCTAGCCCCAAGAGCCTGGGCTCTGCTGCCCCTGCCCCCACCACTTGCTGACCCCTACATAGGCCACTCCAAGTCCCTGTGTGGACCCCTGCAGTCACAGACCCCAGGAGAGCAGGCAAGTGCAGAGAGCCTTCCTGGGATCATCATCCACCAGGATGGGGATGGGGTGCCTGAGTGGGAGCAGGGCAGGGAGGGCTTCCTGGGGGAGGCCTTGGCTGCTGCAGTGTGGACCAAGGCACAGAGCCTGGGTCAGGGGAGGAGGTGGACATGCTGGATAGAGAGTCCTGAAGCCTCTTGCCCTCTTTGGCATTCTTCTGGGCCAGGCCCTTGGCTCCCTGGACACTCACTGCCCACTGAGGGGGAGAGGCAAACATGGCCTAGGCAGCAGCCTCCTGCTTTCTGTGCGGGTCACTCTCACACAGCTGCCCTGCCAGGCCCCACCCAGCCTTTGCCTGGCAGCCCTGCCCTTTCTTCCGCAGCCTTGACACCTGCAGGGGAGGGGCAGCAAACATGGGAGGAGCCTCCAGGTCCTCCCTTCAGTAACGTTGCCTCCTGGCCCCACAGAAACCACTTATCACGGCTTGGTCACCACAACGACAGCCAGAGCCCTGCTCTTGCTTTCTAGTGTGCCATTTAAATTCACTCTGGGTGCTGCCACCATGAAGCTCCAGTGGGGGGACAGTCCAGAGGTTCTGGGGCTGGCAGAGACTTGGAAGCTGTGCCTCTCAGCAGTACATGGAGCAGGTAGCCTGTACCCCTCTGCAGCTCATGGGTAGGGGCCCAGGAGCATGGCCAGCCATACCACCGTGGGGGCTGAGGACTGTTCATGTCATGTCCACACAGTTCTTCAAAGCCCCTGGAGGCCACCAGGTAGGACCTGGAACAGTGACCCCTCAATAGCCTGCAATCCCTGCCTCCTGCAGTAAACACCCTAGGGGCCAAGTGGCTGGGGTGAGGTCACCAGTTCTAGACCCTTGAATGCCACTACCAAGGAGGGAGTCAGGCTGCCTGCCTGGAGAAGGGACAGGAATGGCTAGACCTGTCCCCTGTCTGTCGCTCTGTGCAGAGCTGCTGCCCCATGTTGGCCAGGTGCCGGGGGGTGAGACACTCTCTGCTGTCCCACCACACCACGCCCCTCACCGCTAGAGGCAGATCATCACCAGCTCTAGCAGCAGAGTGTCTGCGAAGAGGCTCAGGAGATAACAGCCCCTCTGGGCCTCTGCTGCCAGCCTCATTATCACCTGCAGGCTCAAGCTGCTCTGCGCACCCTGCCCATCAGCACACAGGGCCCTCGTCCCTGGTGTGGGAGAGCAGCAGGCTGCTGGGCTGAGGAGTGTGGGGGTGTGGGGGCTGTTCCTGGGAGAAGTTCTTCACCCCTAATGCTGGGGCGGGGGTGGCTCAGGAGGAGTTACTCTAGTCACACTGTGTGTTCCGGCTGCTCAGGCTCCTGGGGCCACCGTGGGTTTGTGTGCATTTGACCCCACACACCCGGGCTCCACGGCAGGTGAGCCACATCTGCAGGGCCTGGTTTTGCAGTGAGGCCCATGGCAACATGGCAGTAGGGATGGGCCTTCAGCCTGGAGCTGCCTGGCCGGACCACTGGGGTCTCCTACTCTCAATGAGTGCCCTCTAGACTCCCGGATTGTCCAGCCCCTCATCCCTGAGTCCATCTGGTCACAGAAGGTCCCTCTGTGGATCCCCTTCCTGCTGCAGAGATCACACAGGGGTCCTAGGGAGGGTGAGAGAAGCTCCAGGTGACTTAGGCCTCCACAGTAGCCAGGAGGACCCGGTACCCACCCTGAGCTGCCCCTCTGCTCATAATGGGCCCAGCTTGCTTCTCCTTGGACAGGGGGCACTCTCTGCCACCCAGGGGTCTGCTAGGACCCCAGGGCTCTTCTTGATCCCAGGAGAGCAAGGGTAGAGAGGGAGGGCTGCTCCCAGCTACAGATTTGATCCCCCTCTCCAGCTCTCTAGTTACCCCGTGCACTAGAGTCAACTTTGCTTCATACACAGCATCATCCAGCCATACCTGGACACAGCTTCCTGGCAAATCAAGGCATCGCGGCCCGCTTCCAATCGCCTGCGTTCCCCTATCTGTGCACCCCTGACCAGGCCACTTGGTTGCTCTCATAGGCAGCAAAGAGCTGGCCCTGGACTGACCTTAGGGCCTCTGGCTACAGAGTACATGGTCTGTCCTTCCCTGGGATGGCCAGACTTGGGCAGCTGTAGTGGACTCCGACTCTACCCATGTTACCCCAGAACCCATACCAACTGTCTGCACTCAGGCCACCCCGGGGTGGGGGCCATGGGCCACAGAGCCCCCAACCTCCTAGGCACCAATAGTGTAATACTGACACCCCCTGAGCCCTGCCTGCTGCCTAGGTAGGTCCTAGGTAGGTCCAAGTGTCCTCCTGGGGACACTGGCCACCCCTTGCCAGTGGAGAATCCCAAGACCCACAGGGGTACTGACTGCAGAGGTGTCAGGGTACTGAGCCTGGCACCTGGCCCTTCCCTGCTGACACAGGCTCCCATTTCCATAGGAAGAAAGCGTCACCCTCCCAGGCTCCTGGCAGGTGGGGGCAGGGGGGCAACCAGCGGGGACACAGAACCCCCTTCCATGACATTGCAGGATGTCTACCTCGGGGGCCATGACGCCCAGCCACGCTCTCCAGTTGTCATGGAGATGCCAGTGTCTGTGTCTGAGCTAGGGCTATTTCTGTCCTGAGACTCATTGTCCTGCCCCCGCAGAGTCACCCTTCCTGCAATGGCCCCTCCCTTCAGAGCCCGAGGGTGCGTGTGCTGCCCGCTAGCTCCTGCCCAGACACTATCCCAGGCAGGGTCCAGGAGGACTGGGCCCCTGAGGGCCACCAGACCTGAGGGGGCCCCCCAGGCCCCTTCCTGGGCTTTTTCTCTCCCCTTGAAGAGATTCTTCATCCCCACTGGCTCTTGGGGGGGTCCTTGGCCAGCCCCACGAAGTTCAGGGTAAGGGTCTGTCTCTCATTGGGGGCAGCTCTGCTGGTATCGGGGAGCACTGAACAGTGGTGGGGAGATGACCCTGAGCCCTGGTACATGGCTGAGGCTAGCAGTGTCCTCTGAGGCTGGACTTCACCATTTTGACCAGATAGTGACCTTCTCAGCCACTCCAGAGCTGCCATTGGTGCCCAAGTCTCAGAGACAGGGATCCAGTGTTCTTCGGGAACCCTAGGACCTCCAGCACTCCAAGGGCAATGCTGGGGCAGCACAGGGAAGCCCTGTCCACCCCACCCAGCTCCTGTGGGGACATGGTGTCTCCTGACGTCTACAACCCAGACGAGAGAGCTGCTCGGGGGGCTGCAGGCCAGGGTGGGATGGGCAAATCAGTCATGGGGCTTCAGATCTTCACACCCTCTTCTGTGTTGCCATAGCCCACAGTGGGTGAAGACAGCTGTCCCCAGAGGGGGCCACCAGGCCCTGCTGGGTGCCAAGCTGGGGTGTGAGCTGTCACCTCTGAGGCTAGCAGCCCTGCCCTGGCTTTTGCCAGCCTTCGACAGCCCCTGCCTACCCTCCAGCCTGCAAACACCCACAGCTGGGTCTTCCATCCCCCATCACTGCCTCCCACCCTTCTCTCCTCCCTGGTCATCAGTGTGGACAGCCAGGGGGCAGGCTGGTGGGGGAGCTGGGCCAGCCAAGCAGAACCAGCAGGCAGGGGTGGGCCACCCTAGTTCTCAGGCTACTTCTGCTGCCTCTCCAGCAGGCAGCCTGGCTCAGGGGGAGTCAGCCCTAGGGAGTCGCCATGTCCCATGTCCCAGGTTGTGGGGCCAGGGCCCTGTGTGGAATTGATCTCTGGCTAACACTGAATGCAGCCCTATCTGCCACTGACTGGGGGGGCTCCACTGCTGGGGGTTGGGGGCATGGCACCAAGGGGCACTGTCATTATCCTTAAAAGTCTGCCCTCGTGCCAGGGCTTCTGGCGGTTTCATGGAGGAGTGGAGGCAGACACCACAGACCCCGAACACCGTCTACTCTCCAGGGCTCCCTCTGTCCATGGCCAGACGCTCTCTGTGTCACCAGGTGGGTTGGTGGCCCAGACAGCCTGGTGCACATGGGGGCCCTGGCCTGGGCCCCCCACACTAACACGTGGCCTTCAGCACCCTGCCCATGCTCTGTCCAGTCATCCCTCCCCAAACAGGGAAGCAACCTTGGTTTCCTGTGGGGAGCAGGCTCCAGCCTGAGGCGCCACTCGCCAGCCTGCCTGCCCAGGCCACCCCAGGCCCCTGCTCATGAGGGGCACTAGGTTGGGCAGGAGGAGCTGGAGCCCTGGCAGGCTGTGCAGCCCTTTGGGGCAGGTGACTGGGGGAGGCCTGGCAGTAGGCAGGGGGCTCTGCCTGCGCCTGGCCCAGGGGCAGTGTGGAGCTGCCCTCCGCCTGTTGGTCTTGGCCATCCTGGGAAGCCGCAGGCGCCAGGCAGTGTGAAAGGCTCCTTTCACAGACTGCTGCAGGACTGTGGGAGCTCACGGGGCTATAGCTGGTAGCGCTTGCCGCTGAGAGGTAACCGGATTGTGGGCTGTGGCAGATAGGGGTCCCCAAGCTACCTGGGCAGGCTGGGCTCCCTCCACCCAGCAGTAACCCCCACAGCTGTTCCCCACCCATCTGCCTGGTCCAGGGTGCCCTGGGCTCCTGGACTCTGGGCAGTCAGGGTGTTGCAACTGGGGGAGCTGCAGCTTGGGAGGGCAGGGTCCACAGGGTGCACTGGGCAGAGCAGCCCTCAAGCCTTGGCTGGGCTCCCACTGCAGCCCTGAGGCCCTGACCTGACACACTAGGGGCTCTAGCAGGCTCCTTCTCAGACGCCACTCTCCCCCACCCCAGGTCTGACCAGGATGGCAGCCCCCGCCCTCATGGTCCTGGTGCTGGTGCTGCCTGCAGGGGCCTGGTCTAGCCTGGGCCTGTCCAGGAGGCCCTGTGTGCACTGCTGCCATCCACCATGGCTCCCTGCTGCCGCCCCTGGCCCACACACCCCTTTGAGTGAACAGGCCCCGTGGGTGGGGCTGCCCCGTGTGCGGCCCACCATTGACATCTCTATCCTCAAAGGTGAGTCTGCACAGAGGTGCCACCTGCACCCAGCCCCTGCCCCACAAGCAGGAAGCAGGCTGCTCTGGGGGACTGAGTGGGTGCTGGGACCCTGGGGCAGGGAGGGTCCTGAGGCTGGACAGCAGGCTGTGCTTAGCTCAGACCTGGGTAGGAACTTCCTTGCTCTTGCTCTGCACAACCCAGCTCAAACCCTCCTCTGCAGCTGCCTCAGCACGGCTGCCCCTTTGGCGAGTGGTTTCTCACTGTCCTGAGAAGCAGATTGGGGCCCTTACAGATGAGGAAACTCAGGCTGGGGAGAAGTGAGGCCATGGCCTGGGTGGCCTTGAGGCCTGGAGCCCCAGCCTTGGACCTGGCAAGGTAACGGGGCCTGCAGGCGGCGGGAGGTGGGGACCGTGCTGACCCAGGCCCTGCTTGCTCCCTGCAGGAGAGAAGGGTGAGGCAGGGGCCAGAGGTCACGCAGGAAGGAGCGGGAAGGAGGGTCCCCAGGGCTCCCGCGGCCTGCAGGGCCACAAAGGCCAGAAGGGGCAGATGGGGTTTCCGGGTGCCCCGTGCCAGCATGCCCACGTGGCCTTCTCTGTGGGTCGGCGTGAGGGACTGCACAGCGTGGAGGACTTCCAAGCGGTGCCCTTTGATATGGAGCTGGTCAACCTGGACGGCACCTTCGACCTGGCCACGGGCCGCTTCCGCTGCAAGGTGCCGGGCATCTACTTCCTGAGCCTGCACGTGCACACCTGGAACTTCAAGGAGGCCTACCTGCACATCATGCTGGACCAGCGGCCCATGGCCGTGCTGTATGCACAACCCAGTGAGCGCAGCCTCATGCAGGCCCAGAGCCTGCTGCTGCCGCTGGCGGCCAGCAGCACCGTCTGGGTGCGCATGTTCCACCGTGACCAGGACAACGCCATCCACGGAGAGCCCGGGGACCTCTATATCACCTTCAGTGGCCACCTGGTCAAGCCGGCTAGTGAGCTCTAGCTCATGGTCCCGTGGCCTTCACTTCCAGACCTCTGCCCAGTGCAGGACTTGAGTGGCTGAGCACTGGGGTGTAGGGAGAGCAACTCAGCACCTGGCCTGTCCTTGTGAGGTCTTCCACAGATGGAGTGGCCACACCCAGTCACAGGGGGCAGAGGGATATCATGGGCCTGGTCTACCATGGTGGCTGAGTGCCACCGTGGGACCTGTTCTATCTGCTCATAAAGGCTGTGCCAGGCCCCAGGGCCACACACGGGCTTGCTCCTTGTCGGGGGTTCGGAGGCACCAATGGGGGCTGGGCTGGGCTGGGGGAGGCCAGGGATCGCAGGAAATTGCTGGTCTTTGAGGCACCAGATTCCAGCAGGAGAAAGACAGCAAGCTTCCCGGGGTCAAGGGCGGCACGAGCAGAGAGGGGTGCTGGCCGGGGATGGGAGGCTTGCCCTTGGGGTGAAATGTGGCTGAGCACTGGAGGGCTGCTTTTCTGGGTCTCCAGGGTCCCCCGTGTCTGCAGAGGGCTGGGCTGGGGGGAGTTGGCACTCCATGCCGCAGAGCTTGGAGCCAACCCCAGGTCACAGGTGACTTGGCCAAATATGTGGGAGCAATTATGGGGGTCCCTTTGGAAAAGGAGTGTGGGCTGTGTCTCTCTTTCCTGCCCCTGGGGTCTGGCCAGGCTAGGTCCTGGGAACCTCCATCCGCCCCCAGGTCTGGAATCAGACTTTGCCTGCCACATGGCCCTGCATGCCCTTCCTCATTTCCTTGGCCCCTCTGGCCCCTCTCCTGCTCTGACCTCCTCCTCTCTGGGTCCTCCTTGTGTCTCTTCTCAGGGGCTGTTCCTTCTCCCCATCCCTAGCCTGTGTTCTCTGGCAATGAGACCACAGGGCACTGGCAGGAACAGCATCTGGAATCACCAAACGGCCGAGCTGGCTGACACTCTGGGAAGGCACACAAAGCTGCAGGCCAGGGTCTGGAAGGTGGCAGAAGGCAGCTGCTGGTGGGCTAGGAGCCCCTCTCCCCCTGGGAGGCACTAGGGCTAGGCTCCAGGGACGCTGGCCCCTTGGACCTTGTCCATTCTGGAAGGCCCCTGGCCTGAGGAGTACCCTTGTCCTCTCTTGCCCTGGCCCCACTCCCTGCCTCCAAGGGCCTCTGACTGGGGTCATGAGATGAATCCCAACCAGCTGGGACTTTCGCACCTTGGCCCAGGAGGCCCTGAGGGGACAGGCTCCTCCTTGGCCACCAGGGCTCACCCCAGGAAGGGAAACTGAGGGCCCCACTTGCCCCTTACACAGCATGACCTGGAGAAGATTCTCCTATTCTCCTGACCAGGTGTGGGGGACACAACTGGAAATAGCAGCCCTCCCGGTCACCAAGGGGCCAGTGGAGGGGTAGACGCCAGTTACCTCACAGGCCTGCAGCCCTGAACCAAGGCTAGAGCCAGAGCCAGTAGTCATTTTTTCCCTCCTACCTGGTGGCCCAGGTGCAGGGACAGTGGGCAGAGGTGGCAGGAGAGGCAGCCGGGGCAGGGAGGCAGAGCTGCAGAAGGTTGGCAGCAGCTGCCCTACCAGGCACAGGGCACTGCTCCCTTGTGAGATGGGCCCAGCCCGACTCTTGGAAGCACCCCTCGTCCTCATAGAGAGATGTCCACTCCACAGGACACTGAGTGTTCTGGCTGGCTTCTGAGGACAGGTAGAAAGCTGAGGTCCAGCCAGGGCTCACAAAGCACCCAGCACTTGCAGTTCTGAGAGTCGACCTCCTAGAGGAAGGGCCCCTGGTGGGCAGGGCTGAGGGGACAGTGCAGAGGCAGGAGCAAGGGCTGCATGCAGCAGCAGGCCCTGAAGGGCTGGCCCCTTTGCTGTCCACAGGAGCTCATCAGTGGGGGAGGGGGCTGCTTCCAGCTGTGGCCAGAGCCTGCAGCCCCCATCCCTCCCCATCTGCAGCAGCCAGTTTTCCACCTGCACTCCCAGGGGCCCTTCCTCCAGGCTTCCCTGGTGTGTCTAAAGGTCTTGGGAAAGTTAAGGAGGAGGCCAGGCAGGGGGTCTCTGGGGACAGGGCTCAGGAGGGGCTTAGGGCCAGGGTGGGACTGGGGGCCAGGCCCTGGCACCTGGAAACTCCATCCCAGAGAGTCAGCCCCACCCGGGATGCTGAGGTGTGGGAAGCCCCTGTGTCCTTTTATGGTTGGAGTAGCTGGACACACCCGGGCTGGTGGCAACCGGCAGGCACAGCAAGAAGCTGCCTGAATGCTAGTGGTGTGGCAGTACGTGGCAGCAGAGAGGCTTCCCTACAGAGAAGAGGTATCTACACAGGGTATCTACATCCTCCCACTCCTGAACTCCCCTCCTGCCCATCCAGGACACCCATGTCCCTACATCCTGAGGGCCAGCCTGGCCAGAAGGGATCCAGGAGAGAAGTCCCAGCCCAGTCCTGGCTGTGCATCCTCAGGCATGTTGCCTGACCTCTCTGAAGCACCAGGGTGTGTGGTTGGTGCTCACAGGAGCCACACGGTGAAATCCAGGTCCAGTTCCAGCCCAGCTGGCTTCAAACATCCTACGTTCTGTCTCCCCTGCTCTGCAGCCTCCACTTCCCTCCTGCAGTGGGGTGCAAAGGGCCTCTGTTTGGGCTTCCAGTGCAGGTCGAGCAACCTTGCCTGGGGCTGAGCTGGGTCTGGGTGCTGGGCCTTGGAGGAGCCTGCAGACATGGGGGCCAATGTGGTGGCCACTCTCCCTACTCCCACCCACTCAGCACGAATGCAGCTGTCCAGAGCTCTATGGGGGCCCTGGGGCAAGGGTCCCCTTGGGAAGGCAGCCTTGGACAAGGTCTGCCAGGGCAAGGAGAACACCTATCCACACCAGGCTCTGGATGGGGGCACCCAGGAATTCCGGAGGACAGCCCTGGACCAGCCACCTTGGACCTGCAGCCTCCTTCTCTGCAGAAAGCCCCGCACTGCAGGAGGCGCTGCAGGGAGTTTCTGATCTCCAGAGCCCAGGAATTGCCCACCACCACACGGGGAGGCAGGGATGAGTCCAGACAAGGGCCCAGGCAGGACCAGGGCCAGGCCTGCTGCCAGGTTGCCCACTGGAGGGACGAGAGTAGTGGCACCTGCTGACAGTAGCACAGCTACCATGTGGACAGGCCAGGGAGGGGACCGCGTCTCTCTGACGGTGGCGAAGCGTATCTGTTAAACCCCATATGCTGGGTTAGATAGGCAGTAGGACACCTAACCCCCAGCCTCAATGCACTTGTGGGGATGTGCTTGGGGCCACTGTCCTGGCCCAGGATGAGACAGCAGTTATTTATTTTTAAAAATGACCAAGAAATGGAAGAAGATAAGAAAGTCACATTCAATTTTCTTCAAAGTAATAAAAGCCCAAGGGGCACAGGCCAGCCCAGGCAGGTTGAGGATGGTCCTCGGAAAGAGGCTGGAGACCTGTCACTAGCACCCTCATTTCCCACCCAGTGAGAGGGCAGGAATGACAGCCAGGAGCATGGTGAATGCCAGCTGTGTGCCCTTGGTTCAACCAGGAATGAAGGAGGGAAGACCGTGGCTGTGTGGCAACCCCAAGACGTTTAGGGGAATGACCGGGAGCTTCCCCATGAGAGGGACACAGGTGGCAACGTGGTGCCCAAGCACAAGGGAACCCTGGACACCTGCTGGGATGGGCCCTGAGGACAGGGTGCTGGGTGACATAAACCAGTCACAAAAGGGCCAGTCCTCTGTGCTGCCATCCTGAGAGGTCACATCCTCTAGGGGAGCCACAGCCAGGTGGGTAGAGAAGTGATGGGGCTCCTCTCTCCTGGGCCCCTGCCTGGCTCCAGGGGCCCTGGGCCTGAGCCCTCAGGCTGTTCAGAGCAAGGGGACAAACACAGGCTTGGCCAGGGCAGGACAGGCCCAAGTGGGAGAGCAGCAGGAGCCCGGCCAGCATGAGGGCAGCTCTGGGATGCCCTCACTCCTGGCCGCCCACTCAGGCTCATGACCCTCACCTCGTGAACTTGGGTGGAAGGGCCACGCTCTCGGATTTGCTGGCCCCATCTTGGCCTTCTCGCTGCCCTGCACTGACCCCAAGGACACCTCCCAGGGGTGTCAGCCCATAGGAGCCCAGCAGGGCATGAGCCTGGGGGCTGGTCCATCTCCATCCAGGGAGGAAAAGCCCCAGGGCCAACCAATCAACTGCCGTGATCAGGACCTCCTCACACTGCTCCTGAGTGACACTTCTTTCCATGCGGGAGATGCCTCAGGAAGCGTGGGGATAGGGAGCCCCAGAGTCGAGCAGGAGAGAATCACAAGTGGATGTCCTAGCCTGGCTTCCTGGGACCCCACAGCCCCACCAGCTCCCACCTTGGCAGACCCTTTGATGGGAGGCAATGGCATCCCCAGCCCCCTGGCCACCTATGCCCCATCTATTCTGCCCAGTGCCCACCCTCACCCTTGCTGCTCTCGCTTTCCCCAGGACAGCACAGCAGGGGCCTGATGGGGACATGCCCTCCCCAGCACTCACCTGGGACCCCGAACATGAGGAGGTGGGTGGGCTGGCAGGAGCCACTGCCCAGGCCTGTGAGCCCAGACTTACTCGGCTGCCATCCTGGGGGCGGGGAACGCCTGCTCTGCTTGTGGGGGCTGTTCCCCAACACCCACCTTTCCTGACCTGTACCCTGCCCTGCTGGGCAAATAGAGACCTCCTGTCCCCCATCCTCATCCCTGCCTTGCAGGCCGGATTTCCTGAGCAAGGTCACTCTGGGAACTGCTGGAGCCCAGTGGCCAATAAAACCCATCGATGCGGATGGAGCGCCCATAAAGCAGGTTGCCGCTCCCGCCCAGGATGTTTGCCCTGCGCCACCCCCACCCTACTGGCCGTGGCCTGCAGATGGTGGAGGCTCTGCGGCCTCTGTGGTGTCACTGCCCCTCGGTCACATCTGTGGAGACTGGGGACCCCGAGGCCTCAACGGGAGGGCAGGGAGCAGCTCAGGACTCCAAGGGCTCTCCAAGCTCAGGCCTTTATGGCAGGTGCCCTGAGGTGTCCCACCTTGCTCACACAGGTCAGGACTGGTCCCAGGAGCCACGGGCTGCATAGAACCTCCCAGAACATCCCACAGGCTCAGCCCACCACCTGAGGTCTCTCCCTCACTCATGCCCCAGCTGGAAGCCAGCATGGCCCTAGGCCATGCCAGGGACAGTGATTCTGCCTCTTCAGCACCCTGGGAGTTCACATTCCCTGCCCCAGATACCTGGCCCGGGCCCAGCTGCCTTGCCCCTTCCCTGGAGGGCCTGCCCTCCACCGGCTCTCTCTTCCTCCAGTCTTGGTGCTCCTGATCTCTCCTGTCCTCCTTCCTTCCTGGAAGCCAGGACAGGCTCCCCAGCCACCCCACCCCAGGCTGGAGAGCTCGGGCCTGTGCTCCTTTGCCTCTGGATCTTCACACAGGCTGTTTCCTTCGCCTGGAATGCACTTCCTGCTCAACGCTCCCTGCAACGAAACCCCCGTGGGCACACAGTAGGTGCACACCAGTGCCTGTCCAAGGACACACACTTTCCGGTCTCCCAAGCCAGGGGCCTGCACTAGTGAGATGTGAACCAGGTTCAGCGGTGAGGCATCCCTGGAGCTCACTGTCCCTGATGGGCCTGGGGGCGAAGGCCACATGCTGCTCAGGTTGACCAGAGGGGGGTATGCCCCCAACGAGGGGAAGACTATCAGCAAAGGCAGCCAGGAGAGCACCTGCAGCCAGGTGAGCACGTGGGTCCAGCAGGGCTGTGGGGCTGGGGTGTTAGACAGAGGGACAAGGGGTCCTGGGGCTGGTGTCTGGACAATGCTACAATTTCACAGGGGCCTCAGACTGAACAAGATGGGGCAGGAGGCTTCCAGGAGGGCCAAGTGTCCTCTGGCAGGGGGCACCTGCCTTACTGCAGAGGCCCTGTAGTCCCCTCTCTGTAACTAGGAGCTGGCCTGCTGGGCTCCGGGCAGGACATTCTGCTGGCCCCACCCAGGGAGGGCCTCTGTCAGATCAGATCGACTGGGGAGGTTGGTCTGGGCAGAGATTTCCGAGCCATCTGCTCTCCCCCAAGCTGTTCCAACAGGAGCACCTTTTCTCCAAATCCTAGGGGAGGCCTGACAGGAGGTGGGAGCTGCAGAGCAAACAGGCCTTGGTCTCTCCCTGGATGTCTTTCCCTGGACGTGCCTTGGGATGCTGGACCTGTGGGCAGGGGTGGGTTTTGCCTGCAGCCCCTGGGGGCAGGCAGAGTTCTGTGGAACCCACATCGAGAACACTTCACCTGCCCAGAGTAGCTAATCCCAGGAGGCCAGGGATGGCCAGCCCCAGCTCGGCACCCTGATGACCCCCACTTTGTGAACCCTGCTGCCCACTCCCAAATGGGCGTGGCCAACCCATCCCAGCCTTGCCTGGGTTCGGTAGGCAGGCTGGGCTGCGGGCCTCACACCTACAACACACTCTGGTTCCCGCTGGCTTCCCATGGCTTCAGGGACAATATTTGCTTTGAGGAAGGATCAAACATTTATTCTCTAATTCATTCAGGGAGCAGGTTCTCGAACACAAGTGCCCTCAGCACACAGAATGAGTGTCCAGGCTTGGCCTCTGGCAGAGGGTCGTGCCTGCTGCCCAGCAGCACCAGCCTGGCCTTTGTGCTACCCAGCCCTGCTTAGCCTGGCCCAGCACCCTCCTGCAGGGCTGGGCAGTGCCAGGCAGGGCTGCCCCAAAGCAGTGTGCCCCCTGGGGGGAATCCCAGCAAGGTTTGGCACAGGGGTGCTTGGCCCCTGCACCTGGGCAGTTCCAGCCTAGAGGGCAGATTCCTCGGGGGCCCACCCTTTGCTGGCATTTGTGTTAACCCACATAGAGCGGCCCCTGTGGATGGCTGCAGGCTGCCTCCTGAGCCCCCAACCAGGCAGAAGACAGGACTGTGCTGCCTCGTGGCCCCTGACCTCAGAGACACCTCCCTGCCCTGGCTGGGCCCCTCAGACTAAACCCCTGCCAGTGTAGCCATGCCCTGTCCCTGTGGGTGCCCCTCCCCCATCCCACTGTGGAGCCCAGGAGGGTGCCTCGCTCTCCCTCTGGACAGAGGTGGTGGGGGACAGGTGGGTGGACAGAGGCCCCAAGGAGAGGGTATCCTCTGGGATCCCAGTTCATGCTGGCTGCCCAAGACCTACATGGCTTTGCACCTGCCTCCCCGAGGTCCACACAGCTACAGGGCCAGCAAGGAGCTGGGGTGGCCACTAGTCCCTGGGAGCTCTGGGGAGCAGAGGCCACAGGTGAGCATACAGGGAATTGTGCTCTGTGACCAGGTGACTCAGGGCTCAAGGACGAGGGCACAAACAGAGAGTGGGCAGAGCCCCAGCACAGGCTCACACCAGTGGTCAGGAGGAGTGTCTCCCCGCAGCTGGCCTCCTGGAGAAACTGCTCCCCGGCCTGGATGGCTGATGTAGGTTGGGGCCAGGATGGGAGGTGGAGATATCAGGCACTTCCTGGGGCATGACCAAACCCCTTCTTCCTCTCTAGAACTTGGCCTGAGCGGGAGGACAGGCCGGCAGCTAGCTGGTCACTGAGGCACCCATCGTGCCATGTCCACACCTGCCCTGGCCCCATTCAGCCCCATCCTCACAGGGCCACTGAGGAGTATCCATCTTGTAGCCCCAGGGCTGCGCAATGGGGAGCCCACAGGACCTGGGCACTGCTGCGGCCTCATAGCCGGCTGGTCTGCATGCGCCCATTGGCCTCACAGCTGCGCACAGGCAGTGCCACCTCCTGCGGCCGTCCACTCTTGTCCGGCTGTGGCTCCACGGTGTCTGCATCCTCTGCACCATAGCCCCCACGGAGGCACAGAACCTTCCGGAAGCTCTGGCGGAAGTTGTCAGAGAGGAAGCCGTAGAGCAGGGGGTTGGCGCAGCTGTTGGCATAGGACAGGACCACCACAAAGAAGTAGAGGCCGGCGGAGGTGGGCTCCTCGGGCAGCGTGAAGGCCAGGTTGACGATGTTGACTATGAAGAAAGGCAGCCAGCAGCCCACGAACACCAGCACCACCACCACCACCATGCGTGTCACCTTGCGCTCCGACCGCCGTCGTCGCGAGGAGCCCACACGCACACCCGACGCCTTCACCTTCACCACAATCAGCAGGTAGCAGAGGCAGATGACCAGCAGCGGCCCGAAGAAGCCCAGCACGGACGTGTAGGTGATGAAGGCGGCACCCCACAGTCCCACTGGCTCCGGCCAGCTGAGGTTGCAGGTGCCCCATCCCTCTTGGATGTCAGCGAAGACCAGCAGCGGCAGCGACATGAGCAGAGAGAAGGCCCAGACGGCTGCGCTGGCCAGTTTGGCCACCCGCGGGCGGCGCCACCGGGCAGAGCGCAGTGGATGGACCACGGCCAGGTAGCGGTCCACACTCATGATGGTCAGGCAAAAGATGCTGGTGAACTGGTTGATGCCATCTAGTGTCATGACTAGGCGGCACAGGAAAGAGCCGAATGGCCAGTAGGAGACTGCGTTCTGTGTGGCCAGGAAGGGCAGCCCCAGCATGAGCAGCACATCGGCCACGGCGAGGTTGAGGATGTACACGTTGGTGACCGTCTTCATCTTGGCGTGGCGCAGTACCACATAGATGACCAGTGTGTTGCCGCCCAGCCCTACCACGCATACCAGCAGATACAGGATGGGCACAAGCACTGCCCGGGCACCCACTGAGGGTGCCGGTCCCCCCTGCGTCCCGTTGTGGCCACCTCCAGGGGTGACCGACACATTCCAGTCCTGCATGGAGGCCGGGAACAGGGGCTCCATGGTGGAGGCCAAGGCCACGTGCTGGCCAAAGCCGTCTCTAGAGAAGAGAAGGACAGGTGCGGTGAGCGGGGCAGACGGGATTCCTTCCTCCTGCCTCCCTGCCCCGCCCGCCTGGTGGCAGGTAAACATTGTTAGTCATGTTCAACTGGGCTGGAAATCACATTAAGCAAATTGTTTGGAAAACAAGGGAGGAAGGAAAAGCCATGTGGTCAGTAGACAGGCGTCCTGGTGAGCCAAGACAGACGTGGCTGTTGATAGCCACAGCGGCCGCTCTGTGACCTCCCACTCCACTGGCCCTGAGGCCTCTTAGACCCCTAGGGGCAGCACAGCAGGAAAGGCACCAGGTGGTCAGGGGCCTCCAGAGCAGGACTGCAGCACCGAGCTGACCTGCAGGACATGCAGTGACCTCAGCCCAGCTCTGCTGGGAGTGGGCGATGCTGGGCTCCACAGGGCCTGGGCCTTCCTCCCCCAGGAGGCTCTGTCAGTGTCCACCTGGCTCTAGGGAATGCTATCCCTGGCACATGATGTCCACCTCCCAGCAGCCTGTTTTGAGAAGCTGTACAGTGGCACCAGAGGTCCCTATACCTGGACAGTGGCCACAGCCTGTGGACTCCAGAGTGGGTGACATGGAGCTAAATAACCTAGGAAACAGCATGGGAGCAGGTGGACATGAGAGATGTACAGAAGGTGCTGGCCAAGGACACAGCCCAGGAGGGTGCAGGACTCGGGAGACAGAGCCCGGTGGGGACAGGCACGTGTGGTATCAGTGGAGAGGCAGAGACAGGCACAGAGTATATCGACATGGCAAGTCCAGGGGTAGGCACACATCAAGATGCATCTTTCATAGGAAGATGAGGCTCACGAGGGAGCAGCTGCCTGCCCAGGAGGAAGGGCACCAAGAGGCAGCCACTCTGGACCCACAGAGCCCCTGGGCCTGAGCCAGGCTGCTAGCCACGATCAGTGGCCTGAGTGACCCATGCTATCTCAGACAGGGGATGCTCACACCACTGCCAGGGCTGGGGACACCAGGGATGGGGCATAGGCAATTAAGCCTGGAAGACAAGACAGGACACCCTCCTACCCTGGGGTCCACACCCACACCTCCAGTCACCTAGGTTGCAGGCCAGGCTGCTCAGCACTGGCTAGTCGGCCTGGAAAGTTGGCAGGGGGATGGGTCATGAGCTCACTTCAGGTCCAGCAGGGCCATGGGGGTTACCTGCTGCGCAGAGACTGCTTCAGTGTGTTAGGGGTCTCAAGCAAGGCCTGGACAAAGATTGTCAAGGAAATTGACTTTCTTGGTGGGAAGGTGGTAGGGATTGAATCCAAGGGTGCTCTGCCACCAAGCAGCACCCCCAGACCTTTTTATTTTTTATTTTAAGACAGGGGCTCACTTTCTTTCCAGGCTGGCCTTGAACTTGTGATCTTCCTGCCTCAGCCCCAAGTTGCTGGGATTATAAGCGTGAGCACTGTACCGTACCCAGTCCCTATAAATTTGACTTTTAAGAAGTAAAATGAACAAGTGTCTATTCTTAAAAATAATAGACCTTTGTCATGAACAAATACAGTCATTTAAATGCACAAACAAAACCCAAGCCCAGCAAAGTCCAGATCAGCTCCAGTCTGGAGAGTATTGAACAGATAATTGGAGAACTGAACGGGGCTGAAGGAGCCCTGCACAGCAGACTAAAATATCAGCCAGGGCTACAGGGCGAAGCCACAAAAGACAGAGAGGAGTCTCCCAGAGCCCACAGACAAGCTGTGTCACCAGCAGAGGAAAGTCATGGCCACTGAGCAGCACAGCATCAAGGACAAGGAGGGAACTCTCAAGAACACCAGGCAGAGACAAGAGGGAAGCATCACCTGGTGTCAGGAGTGACGGGAGGACAACGTGCTTCCATCAGCAAAGAGGAGCTGCAGCCTGGCAAACCTGAGAGACCAGGCTGCCACCTGGAGTCCTCCTAGTGGAGCGCCTGGAGCCAGAAAGGTGAGGACTGATCAGAGCTGTGTTGCCCGGGTGGTCAGTGAGGCTGCAGGTGTGTGGTGAACATTTGTGTTGCAGAAATCTACCTAGCAAAAAGTCAAGGTAGATGCCTGTTGGAAATGACTGCTTTTTAAGGCCGTGTCAGGGAGTCCCTCTGGCTGGACTCCAAGTTCTCAGGTCTGAAGGGCTGTTAGGGCATGGGACGTGGTACCCGTTGCTTCAACCAGCATCTGCATGTGGCCAGGAGCGAGTCTGCCTCAGATACAGGCTGCCCTAGAAGCTGGTCCTGGAGGACAGCAAGGGGGCTTGTTTATCTGTCCCCAAGGCCTGGCCCCAAGGGCCTCTCCACATTTCTAAAGGAAGCTGAGCATTTAAAGTAATGTTTATGGCTCCCACGGACAGCTGTGGGAAGGCCTGTAGGAGGCCTGTGGTCTGGAGACAACAAATTCTGTGAGAGGCAAGGTGAGTGACGTGTATGGGCTGCGGTCACCCCCTCCCCAGAACACCAAGGAAGGGCTTCTAGCCCATACCCCTGAGGCCTGAGCAGGGCAGAGATGACCAAGCAGCCCTGAAGGTGGGCTGCCCACTTGTGAGGGTGGCTCAGGTCCTTTCTGTCACAGGCCTTGGACTCCTGAACATATGTTTGATCTTAAGTAAATTCCTCTTGTCTGCAGCTCTCAGCCACTCCCAGGTGCCCCAGTTGCCCAGAACCCAGAAGGGCTCAGCAGGCTATCAGGCTCCCACTTCTGCTGCCGGTAACCACATCAACTCTCCAGTTATACTTCATAGCAGGAAAGAAGGAAACAGGCCCCCATGCTACTCCAGCCTCTTGGAAGCTCATCCTGACAGGCCATTAATCAGAAGCAGCAACTTTAGTCTCAAAAAGTAGGCACCTGTGAAAAATTGCCCCAGGCCCCTTTCAGATGCAGCAGGAGGGAAGTGACCATGGGGCCTGTGGCACCCAGACCCCCCCCTCTCAGGAGAGGATCTACTTAGCTGGCCCACTCTCATGGCACCAGGAGCAGGCCCAGCCCACATACCTGCCCCACTCTGGCTGTGTGCTCCTGAGCAAGCCAGGCTGCTTCTCTGAACCCTGGCTTCAGGAGCTGCACCTCCTGCCAACTGCAAAGTTACTGAACACATGAGATAAGCTCAGGCATGAAGATACCAGGTGCAAGGCCTGGTGCTCAGTCATTGCTCCCACAGGCCACCCTAGGTAGCTCAGCTTCTCCCCAGCATCAGGAAGGGCATCTGCCCAGGCTCCTGGGAGAAGATGGGCGGGACAAGGGCCTGGGAACAAGGATGGGTCTCAGAACCTGTGTCCCCTAGGCCTGACAGCCATGGTCAGGCCAGCCCCCAATAAAGTCTGCAATAGCCGGCATCATCAGGTAGCTGGAGCTTGGAGAGGTATGAGTGCTGCAACTCAGGGGACTCCCAGACCCCTGCCTCACCAGGGGGAGAGCATACCAGTGTTCTTGTGAGCTGGAGAAAGCATAGACTGCATCTTGGCTGAGACAGCAGCCTAATCCTGCCACCCTCCCCCAGGACAAGCTTCCTGACCTCTGCTTCCTCTGTTGGGACCCCCTGCCCCGCCCCCAGCAAGGCTCTGACTGTGCAGCCAATGGCAATCCCCACTCCTGCCCCTCCACTCTCTTTAGGGCAGCCTGGGGCCAGGGGCAGTATCCTCCTCACATTAAGGGAAACTGGTGGGAGCAGGCAGGCCAGAGCTGCACAGCCCCCCTCAAGGGCTCAGAAGGGTATGTATGGCCAGTAGATATTTCAAGACTACCTTCCACCTCCAGCGCACTTCTTTGGAAATTTCCATGGTTACTTTCCTGGGGAATCAATACTGGGTCATGATCATTAATGTATGGACCACCTCTGCCCTGGAGGCTCCGGTCCCACCCTATTCCCAGAGCTTGGGGACTGTTCCAACACACTTGGTAACCACAACTGGCTCTGGGTGACCTGGCTCCTAGCCTCCTTGCCCTGGGACACACCTGGCAGCCGGAAGGTTCTGGGGTGGACAGGGTCTGCACCCCACTGCAGGGCATTCTTGATTTCCTGGAGGGGTGGGTATACTTGGAGGTCAGGTGGGCACAAGTGCCCAGCTGGGATCTGAAGCTCTGTTCCCAGCAGGCAGGGGTGCACCCCAGTCCCCCAGTTGTGAGAGGCACCTCCAGAACCCCAGACCTTGATGCTGCATCAGGCCTTGGGCCCCAGAGTTGGTCATACTCTACCTGCAGCTTAACTGCAGCTTGAGGACCCTTGGCTGAGTACATGGATCTCCACCTCCCTCCTCCTTCCCCAGCCCAGAGTTGGCCAACCCCACCTTACAAGACGCCTATCCTGCACCCTAGGCTCCTACTGCCTCCATACCGTTTCCTGAACCCCCACCAGTCCCAGCCTCAGAGCCCTCCCACCAGTCACAGAGCACCCTCGGGGCCATCTGGGTTCCTGTGGCTTCTGCCCTGACCCGGGTACAAGGGGCGGCCTCCAGAACGCAGAGGCCTGAGGGCGACGAGGGGAGGGGGCTGCGGAGAGAAAGGGGTGCAGCTGCCCAGTCTGGAGAGCAGACGGAGGGGGACACAGGGCAGCGACAGGTGAATCCTGCGAGTGTCAGGCCAGCCCCCAATAAAGTCTGCAATAGTCTTTGGCCGGGGTGCGTGGGCGCCTGGGCGCGCCTCAGGCACTGGGTGCGCAGCCGGTCCCCAGGCCAGGGTTGCGTGCAGAGCGCTGAGACCTTCTGAGACGGTAAAAGAGACCCGAGCGGGACCTGGGCCGGGGCGCAGGGCAGGGGCTCCCGCGCGGGATGCGGTGGGCAGCGCGGCGGCACTCACCTGGCCAGCGGCTCCCTCCGGTTCCCGTAGCAGTGTCCGCGCAGCGATCGCTCCAGGCGCCGGGAGGGGAGGCGGGTCAGGTCGGGGGCGGGGCGAGCGCCGGGGGTCGGGGCGGGGCGGGGCGAGTGCCGGGTTTGGGGGTGTCGGGGGCTTGCCTTGAGGAGGGGAAGAGACAGTAT